GCAGCCCCCCCGCCCCAGCACTGCAGGGAGAGCTAACACTCTGGGCTAGGGGGGTCATCCCAGAGACCCCCAAAAGTCCTACCCAGGGGCCCATACACACTAAGGAGTGGGTAAAACAACCCCCCCCCCCAGCACACAGAGCTCATACTGAGCGAGGTGAGGAAATCCTCCAGAAGACCTGCCAGAAGCCTCCTAGGCCCTGGGCAGCGTGTGGATTGCAGGGTGGGCAATGCCCCCCATATCTGCTCCACTGGTGTGGCCCATGCCACCACCACTCTCCCAGCACCAGAGCTGGGGCCGGGGCTGCAGCTGGTACCCCTGCCAGTCCCGGAGACTCCCAGCAACCTCCATAGGTGGTTTTCTTGCTGCTTTCCACTTTACTACTTCTTATGGATTTCCTGCCTTCACCCCCTGCCATTTTTACAGGGGGGGGGCGGGATTTGACATCCTGTGGAGGATGTCAATTATACAAGGTTGGGGTGGGGGAACTCTTGGGACACTCTTCCCTGCCTAGAAATTGCAGCTGAGAATGTGACAAGTTAGAACACACTCGGGTGATTTCTCCCCCCCTGCCAGAGTGAGGCTGTTCAGTTTGGGTCGCCGGCCCACTGGGTGATTAAAAGTTCGTGATCCGGCCCCACATTAAAGAAGGTTGGATACCCCTGTACTAAATCTTCAGATGCTTTTCTTAAAAGGTACAGCCCCAACTATTAGGCTTTTCTAGATTACTTCAGTTTCCAAGTGTACTTAAGCAGTAGTCTCCAGCTAGGTTCTGCGACCACTTGCAACCATATTTGCACAGCTTGGTACGAGCGTTCAGAACGTTTCTCAGAAGAGGAACTCCAAAAGGATGTTCTCTGCCCACCAACCACCAGCTAAGAGCTAGTTTTGGAAAAGTACAAGCATCACCTCTATATAGCTCTGCATAAGTAGATGTCACAAAGACTCAAGAGCCCTTTCCCTTTCTTATCTATAGATTTGTAGAAAAATTTGAACTGTACTCATTGATTAGACTGTATAAATTCAGATGTATAAATTCATGCAGATGTGGAAAGAAGGCATCTTCAGTTGCAATTGCTAATGTAAGTTTTACTAGGCTGTGAACGGCATGTGGAGTTGTGATCAAATGAAGGCTTAAGTCCTAAACTGTCAATACTGTGGAAGAGGTGGTGAATAACATGGGGATAAGCATCCAAGAGTGATAGACCACATTAAATACAAAGCAATACATTGCGAAGTTTATATTCTTGAAACCCACAAATGGTCATCTTCCTTCTCCGCAGGAAAAGGAAGGAAAACTTGAGCCAGTGCTTGATACAAGCCTATATATTATGAAGTAGAGAACTGTTACATTGTCTATTGTCTGAAGGATAATTTGTTGCTTGAGGAGTCTGCAATACACAACCTATACCTCTCCAGGCAGGGATGACTCTTGGAAGTACAGCCTACATGAGCTCTCCCCTTCCTCTGATCAGCAGGATGGCTTCTTATCCCACAAGTCAAACTTATCACAGCTCAAATGCAGAGGATTATGACAGGGGAGTTCATCTACCCCAGAGGAATCCATTACAGTACAAGCTAAAGTTTTCCTGTGAGGATGGTTCAAAGCAGGATGCAAAATTAAGAATGAGTACTGCTTGCTGAGCCTTTTACTTCAAAGGCTGCTGCTTCTACAATCAGCTGAAGCACTACCATGGTTTGATCACTACAGCTGATCAGACAGGTGGCACCCTTTGAAATAAAAGCTATAGCAAACAAACAGCTATGTGGGACCACAAAAGGTGCAACAGCTTGAGCTATACACTTGACAGTTGTTCACAAACCTTCAATTATCAGAGGAGGGCTGGGAACCTAGCCCACAAAGAATATGGGTGCTACTGTAATTCCTCTCAGCCATCACCGAGGCCACTGTGGACCAAAGAGCCAGAGTAAGAGTCAACTAATTCCTCATTTTGTGGTAGGATCATTTGCTCAAACAATTTCTGCTTGTACAGGCTAAAATGTGAGGTGTCTCATGAGCTAATCCCCAGTGCTGTATCTTTGTAGTCCATTCCATCTCCCCCTTCTACAACCAATTACCCCTGTTCTGGAGGTCCACAAGGAGTGCTTACTCCAACCTGAAAACTCCTCTTAAGTGGAGAAGAAAGATTATTTTCCTCTTCTTGTGGCTGGCATACATCTTTAAATAAAATGCAAGGATTTACTTATTCTATATTCAGCATAATTTGAACAGATTGACAATAAAGAAGAGCTTCATACCCCTGCATCTGGCTATAAACATACACAGTGTATTACTTAGTTTCACACTTAGACTAAAAAGCAAGAAGTACAAGGAACCCAAAGATATCTTTCAATGTGTCTTGGAAGAGGGAAGAACTGGTAGAATGACTTAGGATCATCCTGTAGTCTAGTCAGATTTATTTGGTTATAAATTAAAATATCCCTAGTCTTGGAACCAGAAACTCCCTAAAACTTCAAACTCTGGATCAGCACATTTAAAATTCACAGGGAAGAATTGACAGCAAAAAACCTGAAGGATCAAGCAAGCTTTTAGCTTGCCTCTCCTGGTTGCTAGTTATATCTACCAAAACAAGGGAAAAACTGAAAAAAGGTAGGGAAACACGTCCACTTTTAGTAAATACGATTTTCTTGACTCCCCATTCCTCCCACAATGACAAACAGAGTTATCACATTGCTAAGCATCTAGTACGCCACTTTCAAATACCTTCCCTGAACTTTTAAAAATATCTAGTGTTACCACACTGCATTAAAAAAACAAAAACAAAAAAAAAACCCACCACCAAGCGAAGAGTCAGGGTGTTCTTTTTAGAAAAATAAAAAGTTATTTTACCTTCAATCCTGTTCTTTTTAGAAAAATAAAAAGTTATTTTCCCTTCAAGGCAATTACATTCTGGCCATTAATTTCACATAAGTGGTGTTCTGTAAGTAGCCCATTTCTTGCAGCTGAACTGTCTTTTACTATTGAAGTTATTTTTCCATTTTTGAATATGAAGCCAACATGTCCTGTGCTGTCCTTATGCATAACAATAATTCGTTCAAAAGGCCTGCAAAAAACATATCCATATATACTTGTTTACAATGTAGAAGTATTCAACATGCACAGAACAATTCTACAAAGAGATTAGAGTTATACTAATTTTGACAAGGCTTTATAATTGTTGTTTAGGATTTTTTTTTAAATACAAACCACAATTGCAGCAGCAGAGCAGCATTTTTTCACCTGATTTGTCTTTGCCTCATGTCCTTTCTATAGTACTAGTTACTCAACCTTTTTCAGAGAAATAAGGTAGCATTAAGATTAAAGGAATCTGAATAAATTCCTTTGATCTACCAAATTTATAAACTGACATTTCATCTTCAGTGTATATTGATTCTAACAATGTTGAAATAGAAATTGATTTTAGGTGACTAATGTACATACCCTTACATAATCGAGTTTTATATAAATCAGCTACTTTTTCTTATTTGTAAGCCTTTCTTTCCCCCCCACCCCCCTTCAGATTTTAAAAGCTACCCATTCATTAGTTTTTGGCCTATACTCCCTTGTGTTACATGTATCCCACCCTCTAAGCTGCACATTTAAATGCATTTCTTTTTTAATAGAACTATCTGGTATCTTTTCTGGGGATCCAGGACTTAAACATACAATGCTGTACAGGCTTAACCAAAAGCCACACTGTTAAATGAAGTGTAGTTAGAGTACTGCAAATTTACTGTGCAGACACTTATTTTGATTAAGCAGAGATGGGCTTTTGTAGTAAGCCGAATACAAAATCTTTTATTCAAAAGATAAGTGAAGACTCTCAGTCAGCACCAAAATACTGTGAACTCATACATTAAGGTAAACATTTTTTGCCCTGACCCCAATCTCCCATTTCCAGTGGCTGTCATTAATGTTCAGAACTTTGATCTCAAAGATAGGAAAGCAAAGGAAGAACTCTCTTAAGATACTCATTTTTAAGCCAAGTGGCCCAGAGATAAGGTATCAGTACAAATGACAACTAGGATTTTTGCAGAACTAAGCAATACTTGTGGGCAATATAAATTTACCCTTGCCAATGAGTGTTTAAATAGATTAAAATATAAATCAAGGAAGTTGGAAGTTTGACATGCTTGAATCCTATTTGGACAGGGACAATCTTTGCTTGAACCGTGGTTAGTACAGAGAAACCATAAGCATGGACTCAGGGGGACACCCGATGCTACAGAAACACAAATAATGAACAATCATTTCCCATTTTTAGTTAGCAGTCTTACCTGTCACGCACAATCATTGGAATTCTCTCTCCAGAAGCCTGTTTGAGAACTTTGTGGGCTTTATCAGAGCTCCACCCTGCGCAGTTTTCACTACTGATCTGCAGAATTTGGTCCCCAAACCTCAGACCAACAAGAGATGCTGGAGAGTTAGCCTGTACTAACTGGACAAATATACCCTAAGTGCAAAGAAAAACATTTTTCATTATTCTTCAGTAGGTGAGATACAAGGATTTCTTGAAGCCTTTAAAAAAAAAAAAACGAACAAAAACAAAAAAAAATTTCTTTTATATCAAATAAAGCTACATGCACAAGTTGAACAAATACTTTATGACAAATGTTTTCCTTTTAACAAGCATGGCATGTTATCATAACCAGCCTAACAAGAAAGTTACAAACATTCCCCAGTTTTCCTCAAGGTTCAGTTGGAGTCTCAAAAGCTTTCTTACTGTGAACTTTAAACTCTTTAGCTGCTTTTCCCTCTTCAAATAACTTTTAGCAATGAACTTTAAATATTTGGAACACAGTATGTTAGCATACACATCTAAAAATTCAGCACCAAGGGGAAGGCTTTTTTTCTTTTCAGATTCCATATCATGGATCTTGTCTAGATATGTAAAGGACTGGTATTTATGGAGTTTTGTCTGCAAAGTTTTCAGCTTCCAATTAAACTTGCTTCGACTTCACTTGAGAGAAACTCCTGAAAAGCATGCCTACTCAAACTCTACCTAACTAGGACACACAATACTTAACACTGGTTCAACTGAATCTTTTTAAGGAACTTTAGGGTTTTTCTATCCTTCAAGGTGTCCCTTACTCTGAAGAGAAGCCCCAGGGTCTTCTGAGGGAGACTGGAATATTTCATAGATTTCATAGACATTAAGGCTGGAAGGGACCTCAGAAGATCGAGTCCAGCCCCCCGCCCGAAGGGCAGGAAGTCAGCTGGGGTCATAGGATCCCAGAATACACTTTTAGCTTAAAAAGCCTTAAAAACAAAGCCTGCAATGTACTTTGAAACTGCAGATACAAACAGTTATTCCCTCTTGCAAATCACCCTTCATGTTAATCAACAGCACCATGCATCTTTCGTAAGTGGGAACAACCAGAAGGCAGTGAGGGAAGTTTAAGAACTTATTTGCAATTAGGTTAATTACAAGTGGAGGAGAGGAGAAAACTAGCCTGATGTTACTTTTTGCAGATGGATGAGAGAAGAGCTTCACTTCTTACTACACTCAACTCTTTTCTCATCAGCAGTGCATACCAGTAATTTAAACAGTCTTGGAACTGGTAGGACACTGAGAATTTGCACTGCAGTATGTCACCCAAAATTTATGCCGGAAGACTAGAGTGACAGAAGCTTGGCAACTTATAGTAGGTTTTGTAGCGAGTGACTGAAGGGTTTTCAGCACTCTACATAAGGACGTACCAAGAGTGCTTTATGGGTGCTGCAAACAGATACAAGTATTACAAAAAGCTAACTACTTCTATACATTTAAACAGGAGCAAACAATCTTTGAGACAAACATTCATTTTGTACCACTTCAAATCTATGATTTTTTGGAGTGTTTTGAATAGAACATTACACATTAGGTAATTTAAAAGTTTACACTGTATTGCAACCTAAAAATATATGCACCATTTGCAATGCCACAATAAAACTGTACAATTATCTCACTATTGATTAGTGAGATAATCACTAATTCAACCACTTGCCTACAGAAGCACCACTTCAATATACTTACATTGTCTACAGATTTAAGGCGAAGCCCAATTTTGCCATCCTGATCTTTGCACAAGATTACTTCACGGAGACCTTGTTTAATTTCTGCTCTGAGAAGTCCAACATCATTTCCTGTTACTGGGGCCACCATATAATTCACAGTGGAAGGCCTTGTTACCAACTGCTGCTAATTGAAAAAGCCATGTTATCATACCACTTAATTAGCAATTTATCAGAACAATACAGGTCAGTTAAAACATGATCACATTTATAACCAGGTGAAATTCAAGATGTTTTATGATTAAGTTTCTGATCAATAATTTAAATTTTGCCAAGAATTCTCTACAGAGGACTTGGTACAAAGTAAGCTCTAGAGATAGAACAGACAAAGCTATTCAATTCAACCATCATTAATTTGTACAGAAGCATACTACACCAATTAAAGCTAATATATGGCAGCCTACTTTTAAAAGAGAGGGAGATCACTTAATATCAATGTCATACAAGTAACTAAATTTACTTGAATAATACCTACACCCTGAGACTGTGGAGCAGCAGTCACTTGCAGGTTTCTTTGTATTTCTTCTTCATTAAGACTGAGGCCCATGTATTGAGAGAGTTCAGGATAAAGTCTGGGATATAAGCCTATAGAAAGCAAAGATTTATTTAGTAATACAATGATTCACTTTTTACTATAATAGATAGTTTTGAAAAAATGGAGCACCTGTAAGCTTGTAGTAAACATGAGCAAACATTTGTTCCCAAAAATACTAAGGAAAAACCATAACTAATCTAATATTTCATCATAAAAAGTCATGTGCATTAAAGCAACAAACCATGGCTTTGAAAATATATACAACAACACCCATGTGGATCTCATTTTAAGATTCTTAAGTCACTGTCAGGAAAGCAACTGATTTTTCCCCTGAAATATTTCCTATAGAATAGTAACTAAAAAGCCTGCTTTGAGAACGTGATGGTGTAAAGAGCATTCAGCAAAGCTCTGGGAGGTTCCATGAGGTTTGTAGGGACATGGCTAAAATTATTTCATAATTACTCACCTCTTAGAGACCATGAAATAGTAATCTAGCTCTGCAGGGTAAAGAAAACTGAGCTTAAGTATATTAGAAGCAGACATGCCTAGATCAGCTTAAAGAGACTGATAAATAGGTGAACACAACGAAGAACAGAGAAGAGACTGTAGTCAAGGATTTTTGGCCAAAGGGTTTTAAGTAAGTGAAGTCTGCATTGTACTGCTCAAGTTGGGAAAGTTTTCCATTAAAAAAAAATTATCATATATAGTTTTTTCCTGCTGCAGTTTTTTCTGTACTTATAGGGAATACATTGCCCCTGGCAATGTCAGGGGAGCTAAGTTAACGTGCAGGCTGTTAGATACAGCAATCTCAGGTCCAGATAAAATATAAGGTCACTGCATCAAAAAAGGCTAACTTTACCTTTGTCTCCTTTCTGACCTCTGGTTACATCACCTTGTACCTTTCTTTCTCCTAGGCTGAATTTCCACAATACTTCAATAGGAGTACTGTTACACAGGTACTGCATCCCAGGGCTTGGACTTTGAGCTATGCTTATCCAGTTGGTTGAACAGAAGTCACATCACCAGCCTTCTTAAACTTTCATTTATATATCAGTAGGAACAAAGCATTAAAAATAAAGCCTGAGGACAGCCTACATAAAACTCTTTACAGTCTCCTGACAGTAAGAGATAAGCAGGCCTAGCCTTTCCAGGTAACCTCAGCAAATACCAATTTCTATTAGTCTAGTTCTCCAATTGTTCCCCCCACCAACTATAAGCATGTTTTATACTGTTATAAGACCTTGGGAATGAGAGCAAAAGGACTTAATAGATGCAAAAATGTTTAAGACCATTTATGCTTCTTTGAGTGATGGAAGGATGAGCTTATAGACTAAGATTCCCCAGTGTACTCAACAGGGCCAAGGTGGCATTTGTAAGATTGGTTCCAACAGGATAGAGTTATAAGTTGCTCAATCTAAAGTAGATATATTGGGTTTCTTCAGCAACATGTTCTGGTTTGCACAGTGAAGCCTTTTCTTTACTTTTATTAAATGAAAGAAGAATAGATGGCTTTGAGGAAAAATGTGTGGGTGCCAGCTAAAGAGAGACTAGTGCCAAGGTCAGTGCCAAAGCATAATTTACCTCCTCCAGTTGGAACCAATAGGGTATCTATGGACTCTGTTGATAAAACTAGTACCAGTCTCAGAGTTGATGCTGATGAAAGTGTCAGCTGCTAGTGTTTTCAGGCCTATACACCAACCGTAACTGAAAACCATTTAAAGACTGACCTCATGCACAAGGTCCATGCCTACTTATGAGTGGGAAACACACCAATACAAAGATGGCAGACAGGTTTCCATACCCACTAAATCTTCCATTATGCAGTCTTAGATATGACACCCCTCCCCTTCACCAAAACAACATATTATTGATTATTTTCAGAAGGCCAGGGATTTATACCACACTATTGCACCTTTCTCGCCTCAATAAAAGGATGGACAAGAAATTCTTGTAATGGTTGTATGCTCCAATACCCAAAACGTTTATTAGTTTAAAGTTATAGTATATTAACTATTGGTAAAATTAGTTACTTGGCATGAGCTTCTAGTGAGGGATAGGAATAGAAAGGTATTAGTTAATTCTCTCTTTTTTTTTTTTTTTCCTCTTAAAATAAAGAATGTCACAGTTACCCTCCCCTGCAGCAACTGAAAAAAAAAAAAGTTGTAAGAGGCATGATCTTGCAAAAGGGGTAGAGGTGGGAAAGGGGAAATTTTTTTTATTCCGATATCCTCCAAACTCCCATTTCTATTTTAATGGGCTGTATTTCACATACCAGCAGTGGAGAGAGAGAGAGAGAGAGAAGATTTCTTTTGCAAGGTTTAAGAAGTTTCATTCTTTTCCAAAACAATGTTTTATGCAATAAATAAAACTTACTTGCATCTTGAGGAATGGGTGCTGAGGCTTCAGACAAAATTGCTGAATTAGCTGGGTTTGAAGAAAAGGCAGTCTGGGCCTAATGGGAAAAAAGTCATGTGATTTTGTACGTAAAGCCTATAGTCCTTACTGTGCATTTTAGAGTTAAATGCTCATTTCTAGATATCACCTTACACTTCGTTGTTAGAGATCTTGGGATTAATTCTTTTTCTTGAAACTAAACAGTTAATGGTAATAGCATGCATTTGGTGTTCAAAGTTAATCTTTCACATGATCATAAAATATCTTTCCTATAAAATCATATAATGACTTTTCAAGAGGGAGAAACAAGAAGAACAGAGACAGGTAGTATTTTTTTTTTTTTTTTTTAACTGTAATCGATTTAATTTCTAACTTTTGGTTTTGATAAGTTAAGACATTTATAGTGGATAAATAACTTCTCATCTAGAAGCAACATAAGCAGTTAAAATAGTCTCCGAGGATCCAAGTTGTACATTATAAAAAATTCTGAGCAGTTTTAACTTATCAAGATTTTTTTCTCAGTTCAATGAAAGCCAGTTCTTGAAAAGTCATCGCACAATCCTGCATGGATTTCAAGGATTATTTGCAAACCAACATGTCATAATAATACTTAAAGCTCTGTAAATTGCTTAAGAATTTATTTAGAAGTCTAGGTGCTACAGCTTCTATTTAAAGAATATGAATCTTTTAATTTGAGCTTCATATAAAACTCAAGAGAGGTGGCAAGGTGTACAGCAAATGCCCTCAAATAAACTTACGTTAGCATATCACTCAGAGACAGGAGATAGGATAAGCTTATTTTTAAGTTTTAGGGTAGGGCTGTCTAACTTTGAGTGGCTGTGGGTCGTACCTTCCCTTTGCCAACTCCCCTGCAGGCTACACTGCTCCCGCACCAGGGAAGAGGTGGCAGGAAGCCAAACTGGAGAAAGGACTGGGGGTCCAGAAACCTTAGCAGCTCAGGGACAGGTGACAACAGCAGCAGCAGAAGGCAGCAAATAGAAAGAGGCAGTAATGGCCAGGGGAAGCAATCCCCAGACCTATGGGAAAATGTATAGGGAGTTAAGTATGCAAGAACTGTGGGAGCCCCTGGGTTGCATGTTAGGTACTTGCGGGCTACACGCAGCCCACTGGCCACCAGCTGAACAATGCTGTTTTACAGTATTTCCTTCCTTCCTTTTCAGATTTTCCATTCTTTTGGTAGTTTTGTAGACCCCATGTTACTCACAGCTTGGAATATATGCCATGTATTATTGACTACTTTAAAAGGCATCTTGAAATCATAGTATTGACTCAGTTGGCTGTTCTGATATTTATAAACAAGGCTAGAAGAGGCTCCTCAGACATCCATTTCAATATATTACATTATGATATAAAAACCTAATTTGACATTAAATTGGCCAAGCTACTTAATGTTTCAAACCGGAGTAGTTTAAAAATTAAAATGACGACTTAATAATAGCATTTTTTCAACAAACATGCAACAAACAGGCTTAGAAGAAACTAGCCTATATCAAATTAAATACCAACAATAAAAAAAAAAAAAAAAAAAAAGTGTCAAATCTATGGAGGTTACACCTTTCTGTTTATTCCCATTGGTCAATTTGCCCCTTTAATCTTTACTCATTTCATAGATTTCATAGACATTAGGGCTGGAAGGGACCTCAGAAGATCGAGTCCAGCCCCCTGCCCCAGGGGCAGGAAGTCAGCTGGGGTCAGAGGAACCCAGCAAGATAAACATCCAAATGTCTCTTAAAGGAGTCCAGAGTAGGTGCTTGCATCACCTCTGGAAGCAGTCTGTTCCAGGGCCTGGGGGCTTGGACAGTAAAGAAGTTACCACCCCTTATATACTTATAGGCAGCCACCAGGTTGCCCCCCCGCCACCCTTACTGAGACTGGAGTATTAGACCCTTTCTTTACCCCTGAAGGAAAGGGGTAGAGTTCTATGCTCAAACAACATGAGAAAGTTCAAATGTTCATCCATATTTCACTGTATTAACACTAATTTATTAACATAAGCTACTGTTAACAATCTGAAAACAAACACGGTAGAACAAAGATGCTTCCAAGTGTTAAAAACCCACCATGCTATAGCACAGGCCAACTTGTAGAATTGAAAGGTCTTTATATGGTTTGGGCACTAGGCAGCATTAAAATAAAGCTTTCCATCACGCTAGGGCTGCTTGCAGACATTAAACCTCCCCTCTGCGCAACAACCCCCCCAATAAAAGGCCCCAATAAAAGGCACTTTAAGCTTGGCATGTTCCTGCACTGAGCCCAGCGCATGCGCAGAAAAGGTAGCATGCTAGTTGGACCTAGCTTGCCCAGTGTCTTTATAGATCAGGCACTTTAGTAGGGCTTTTTGGTGCTTTTATCTAATAGCTGATTGAATCAGCTTTAAATCAAAGTGCCAAAAAGCCCCACTGAAATGCCTGATCTATATAGATGCTGTGGATCCAAACCAAAGTAACATGTTGCCTCTTCTACTAAAACATGGGGTTTTCTTGGTTTTGTTTTGGGGTTTGTTTGTTTTTTTAACATTTGCAAACAGCCTAGATTCAAGAGAATCAAATAATCATTTCACTGCCACTTTCAGTGATAAAGAGCAGTCCATTTCCATAACATTAGAGATCAATTAAAAATTAAAAACAGAAGATTCAAACAATAGTTAAGATTTTAAATTATGTCCCAATCTGTTTCCCTTGGGTTAGAGACCAGATGTTGAACATATACATGTTCTGGCATCTTACAATAATTTACTTTGAAATCAAAAACTTCAGGTAGAAGAAAGCAATTTGGCAGATATTAACTCCTTTCAATAATAACATGCACTCTAAGTGAGACTATGTGCATGGACACCGACCCAGAAGTTGAATAACGAGATTCGTTTTGTTCTCTGAAGCCTGGCAGTTTCTTTTCAGTGGCTTACAAAATGTTCTGATGTAACCTTATCAGTCAGCTTCAGACTCACATGACCAGAGAATTCCTCAACTTCAGCTGGATATCAGTGTATAAGTTACGGAGTTAAAAAAGCAGAACCAAGTCATTCGGATCACATGGAAAGCATATTTTGAAATATGTGAGTTTTACAGTTGCGTGACAGTTTTGTGGGGTGGAGGTCTACTTAATGTCAAAGAACAGGGAGCTAAACAACTGTTCTACTGCTGAAAAGTGATGATTTAGTAATGGACAAGTGGTTTTAACCCCATATTTTATATGGGGGTGGGGGGGGGGGAACAATTTTATTACTACTTCAACCGTTCACTAAAACAGATCTAAAGAGTCTATACATTTCATCATACCTGAATTACTTTGTCCACCTTCAAATCTTCCAGGGAAGGATAGAGCGACATTTTTATGCAATTTCACTAAAGAAAACAAATAAAATCCAACTTAGCAACTGCACACTTACAGCTAAAGTTTTAGTTTGCTTGTTAGTTTCTACCTATTAGAAAAGCTGATGCTAAAATACTTACAAGAATCAACCATAATACAGAAGAAAGATAAAGCCTTTGATTGATCCCTGTTTGTTTAAAAAGTACTTAATGCCCCACTTCACCAGCCCTGTGCACTGGCTCCAAGGCCATTCAGGATTGTACCCCAGGCTGTATATGAGTACTGGCTGTACATGCAGCATGCAGCGTCTGTCTGAGACCCACAGGTCAGATCCAGTCCACAGAACCCATGTTTGACACCCCTAAACTAAAGCATTTGAACAAGTTTCGCTGGTTAAGTTCAACTAGTCAACAATTCACTGATCAAAGAACTGGCTTTTATTATACATTAATGCCAATTTAAATCATATTAATAACACCAAGTGGTCTTAAATCTGCCAGAATTTGACAGTTGAGAACGACAGTGAGAAACTAACACAGGCAGTTAGGTCCCTTTTGTACAAGCTATCCCTTGACTCATGACATGATACAAAAGAAAGATTACAGACTTGGAGTCTCACTTAACCATGCATCGCCCCAAGGGATCATATGGAAAGTACAGTGAATGTACTCTACCTTCTCCTGGAACTGGATGGCAACAGGCCAGGCAACCAAAATTTTTCCAAGCCCCATGTATCTGAACCCCCACTGAAGTCAACAGGGGGCTCCACATAAGAGTAATATAAAATTTGTCCCTAAAATTGTATTGGTAGTTCTTTAAAAGAAAGCAATTTTTAAATGAAATTAGGAGTAGGGATAGCAATGGAGCCTATTGTTTCAGCCTTGGAATGATTCCCTCTCCTCCCTGCCTCTCCCTCATCAGGTGGGGAGGGGTAAAAGTGTAAAAATCAGTTTCATTTGGACTGTCTATTCCAAATAAATCTTCCTGCTACTTATAAAACGTATGCTCGTTTTAAACGGATTTGCAAATCAGTTGTCTGCGATAGAAACATGCATCCATCTTCAACAATATATAAATCTAAACTAATTAAGACAGTGGTTGTCAACTAGGGGTAATCATACCCATAGAGGTACTTAAAAAGGTCATAGGGGATATGCAGAACCGATGTGGCTGATAAATGACACATGCGTGTAGCTGCAGCGCAGCACGCAGGTGACCAGGGGCATATCCAGGTCAGGCTGGTAAGTCTGTTGCGAGGGAAGGGGCTTGCGGGGGGCAAATTGAGGCCCCAGCGGTGGGCAAGGGAGTGGGGCTTGGGCAGGTGCTGCCCTGCTGGGGCAGGGTGTGGGATTGAGCTGGAGGGTGGGGAGGAGGGGGCCGCTCCTGCCATCAACATTTGCTGTAGCCTACTTGACCCCCCCCACCCAGCACTGCTGCCACCTGCCCAGAGTGCACCCCCTGCCCCCGTATTGGGAAGAGCCTAGTGCAGCCCCGATCACAGCGGCAGCCCACCCTACCCCATATGCAGATCAGGGGGCACATGCCCCCCATGCCCTCCTGAGGTGCATATAGTGGTGGGAGCTGCCCCCCCCTCCCCAAATGAGCTGCTCACAGCTCCATCCCGCACTCCACCCTGGCTGTGCGGGATCTGCCACTGCTAGCCCCACTTCCTCCCTCACTGCCTGCAGGGGCCTTGATCTGCCTCCTCCACCCGGTTAAAAATAAGAAAAAAATATAAAGAGGTACATGAGCTGAAACTCAGACAAAAGGGGCACACTTCATAAAAAAAAAAAAGGTTGAAAACCCCTGCACCAAGACAACAGATACACTTATGTCAGTGTCAGTGAAATCCTTTCAACTTCTTTAATTGCTCAGATAACTGCTTGACAAAGCTTGTCACCTGTTACTTCAGCTATTTCTCCCAAAGCTTGATTATAGTGTAAAGTTCACGTATTATGTAAAAAGATATCAGGATAATGACATATTCACTGTTTAAAAATGCTATATTAAAAGTTTTTAGTATGTGCTCACAGTTATATTCAAAGCAAGGTACAGGATTGATCCTATTTTCAAATCATGTAACTGTTTTAGTTGTGCTGGATGTAGCTTAATATTAAAGACCTTAATTACATTGAGCAAGGAAGAGTATACGTTTTAACAGTTTAGAAGTCAGGCTTAAAACAAAAAAAAACCCTAAAAAACCCCCAAAACAAAAAGGTAAAATGCAATGACACGGGTTTTTGTTCAGGGAAAGTGGGTAAGATGAACTAAGAGACTCAATCCTATAAAACGTACTCTGCAAACAGTCCTTTGGACTCAAAATATTACTCATGAATTGAGACATAAGGATTTGCAAAATTCAGGCCTCATTTAGAAGCTACGTTTTAATTTAGAAGAGATCTTCCAGACACCACACAGCTAGGCTTTGCATGCACCACATTAGCCATTGGAAAGAAATAATTTTCTTAAACTGTAACTATGGATTACTTTTGGTTTGTAGACTAATTGTTGAACATCTGAAAAGTTCTTAGGGACACACTATAATTCTCCACTTGCTAATCCACATTAGCAGAGGCAATATTTAATATTTAAATATTACTGCAAAAAATGTATCAGGAAGAATATCTCAATTATAAAAGAGATGGTTCATACACACAGAAGGATGGGAAAGTGGCTTTACGGGGGGAAAAAAAAACCCTGTTGGAATGAAAGTTTACACTCTGGAAGTATAAACTATATCCAAAGTCAGTGGTTTACAAATATATTTACAAACATTTGCAATAATGTACCAAAGATGAGAACTTAAAAAATAAAACAAGACCACTGGATATCAGTAACTACTGAAGAACCAATGTGTCTTTAAAAGCTTGGGCAAGTAACAGAAAATATTACCAAGGAATAACGGTATAATAAAAGGTGCATTATCAAGTACTGAAAACTGATTTTAATATGGAATTTCGTTGCATCTTAGGTAGTAATAGGTATTCCAATAACCTGACATCTCCAATAATGTAAAGAAGAGTTATATAAAGGGTGCAATTTTTAATAGTAAACCACAGAGACAAAAGTTAGCCTAGATAAAAATTATATTATTCTAGGAAAGGGATCCTTCCCTGCCATATGGGTCAAGTTTGTAGAAGGTCATCTTAGTCTATTATTTATATGCTTATTTATTTTGCATAAAATAGGTGATACAAACTAAAACAAAAGTAAACATTAACAGGAGTTGAGGAACAGGACCAGCTAGGAGAAAAATGGTAATAATCACCAGCACCCTTAGAAAGCTCCTCGTTCATAAAGATTACTTGATCCTTAATTCTGATAACCTTTGTCTGGAGCCTGACCGCTAGAGAAGTTTTTTCTTGTTCCTTTTCTATGATCTACTTGGGGAAAAATCTACCTGGAGGAACAGAAGTAGGACACTGACAGCTAATCACATGTACACTTCCATTTCCACTGGCTCAACTACTACTATCAAAAATGATATTTTACCTACAAGATTAATTACTAGTTCAAACTTCAATGCAAAGAAACCCAGAGTTAGGCTGGAAAAATGAAAGACTTCCAAGAACTAGCAAATTCACAAGCCTCCCCTGTTCTATCAAAGAGATATGTATTAAAGATATGAAGCCTGAATGTTTGAATTGTCACTTTGCCTACAAATCCTCAGTGACAAAGTATCTTTAGAACTTCAGCTTCCTGCTAGATGACAAGCCTTCTTTTTGGGCAAAACCTTGCAATAGATGAGCAGGCTGACTGACTTCCAACTGACCTGCCCCGACTTATCTGCAGCTGAAGCCAAAATTTCCACTGGTATAGAAGACAAGAAGAAAATCCCTCAGAAGGGAGGAACCACTGATACCACAGTGCCTGGCCCACCATTTTCACGCTAGGGCATTCATGGGTGAGGAGCCATCAGCAACTGAATCTTCATCCACAACCCACTCAAGTTGTTGCTCTCCTCTCAAACACTGGGCACCCTCCTCCTTTCCCCTCTTGTCTTCTATATTCTGATTTCTCTCTCCTCCCACTCTACTTCCTGCGCATTCTTTCACAGCATCTGATGAAGTGAACTTGGGTTCAGGAAAGCTTGTGCTCTCTCTCATATTTTTTCTATACATGCACATACACATATCTACACACGTCTGTGTAGATATGCGCGCGTGTGTGTACACGTTTATACACAAAGCAATCAGGGCTCATGGTAGAGGTGATATCTTGTACTAGACCAAGATTTTTGCAAAAAAAATTTCTTTAATTGCAAGCTTTCAGGCACAAACACCCTTCATCACCAGGCTTTGGAGAGAGGATTATAAAAGTTTCTCCGACGCCTGATGAAGGGTGTTTGTGCCCAAAAGCTTGCAATTAAAGAAATTTTTTTTGCACAAATCTTGTTGGTCTAATAAAAGATATTATCACCTCCACCACGAGCTTGTTTTTTCCTTTAGACCCGACTGCTTTTTCCTCTAAACAACACCAGCTATGGCTTGGATACCTATCTACCTACACACACGCACACTTATATGTATATATCTGTACAAATACAAATACATACCCACAAAATAAATCTCCTTGCGATTACAGAGATTTATCTTGTGTGTACATACACATATAAATACAAGGGGGGGGTATGTGTGTGCGTGTACACACGCGCACACAATGTTACGCCGCTAGCGTAGGAGGCTGCGGCCCCTGCCCGACCCCGGACACAGCCGGGAGCGGAGCAGGGCTCTTGGCTCAGGAGCGGCCACGCTGATCTCGAGCCTCCTGCGGGGCCTCCGGGGCCGGGCCGGGCCGGGCGGGGCGCCACCGCCCAAGCAGCCCGTGGCGCACTGCTCCAAGGCACAGAGTTGCGGCCCGCGGGCGGGACGAGGGCAAGAAAAAGCCGGATCCCAGAGCCAGCCAGACCACTGCCCCTCCCCTCACCTCCGCCACGCAGCTCCGACACCGCAGCCGCCCCCGGCCCAGCAGGGCGCGGTTGAG